ATATATGTGTACAGGGGGTTACAGCAGGGCAGAAATGTTTCTTGTATGCAGAGCAGGGAAGCAGCGACCATATTCTACTGCTTTCTTCTGGTGGGCTGATCCCCGCCGGCATGCCCCCACTGATAGATCCCTACTCCCCTCAAACTATTCTCTTTGCCCCCACTGACAGACCCCCATCCCCTTTCCTCTCCCTGTACATTAATCAGTGAGTGCTTGAAGTACACCCTGTTCCAAATTATTATGCAAATTCTATTTAAGTGTCACAAAGATTAAATATATTGTTTTTCAGTGTAACTCATGGATGGCATTGTGTGTCAGGGCTCTTTTAATCACTGAAAACAATCTCGGGCACCTGTGATAATTAGATTGGCTGGTGAGCCCAATTTAAGAAAAAACTATTAAAGGAGGGTGTTCCACATTATTAAGCAGATCACCATTTTCAAGCAATATGGGGAAGAAAAAGGATCTCTCTGCTGTCGAAAAGAGTGAAATAGTTCAATGCCTTGGACGAGGTATGAAAACATTAGATATTTCACGAAAACGTAAGCGTGATCATCACACTATTAAGAGATTTGTGGCTGATTCAGAGCACAGACGGGTTTGTGCAGATAAAGGCACATTGAGGAAGATTTCTGCCAGATCCATACATCGGATCAAGAGAGCAGCTGCTAAAATACCATTACATAGCAGCAAACAGATATTTGAAGCTGCTGGTGCCTCTGGAGTCCCACGGACATCAAGGTGTAGAGTCCTCCAGAGTCTTGCAACTGTGCATAAACCTTCTATTCGGCCACCACTAACCAATGCTCACAAGCAGAAACGGCTGCATTGGGTAGAAAAATACATGAAGACTAATTTTCAAACAGTCCTGTTCACTGATGAGTACCGTGCAACCCTGGATGGTCCAGATGGATGGAGTAGTGGATGGTTGGTGGATGGCCACCCTGTTCCAACAAGGCTGCGACATCAGCAAGGCAGTGGTAGAGTCATGTTTTGGGCCGGAATCATAGGAACAGAGCTGGTCGGCCCCTTAAGGGTCCCCGAAGGTTTAAAGATGACCTCTGCAAAGTATGTGGAGTTTATAACTGACCACTTTCTTCCCTGGTACAGAAGGAAGAACTATGCTTTCTGTTATAAAATCATCTTCATGCATGACAATGCACCATCTCATGCTGCAAAGAATACCTCTGCCTCAATGGCTGTTATGGGGATAAAAGGAGAGAAAGTCATGGTGTGGCCTCCATCCTCCCCTGACCTCAATCCTATTGAGAACCTTTGGAGCATCCTTATTTACATAATTTTTTTAAATAAATGAGAAAAATATAATTTGCATAATAATTTGGAACAGGGTGTAGAGCCAGCTGGAAACATGGTAAAGGCAATTCAGGGGTTGTGAGCAACCCACTTGGCTCCCTCCCTGGCAGCTGTGGGGTAAAATCTGTGTGTGGCCACTCAGCTCCCTTCTCCTCATACAGACTTCCCATGAAATCCTGTGTATACCCGGGGGATTGCTGCTGTTAATAGTGATGACTGATATGTCTGCTTCCCCGCTCAGCTGTCATAATAGACATGGTTCTCAGTCCCGCCTATGAAATTATGTACTCCCCATGCCTCTGATTTTGCCTAGCATAAATGCTTTCACAGGAGGTCAGCACTCAGCTTATTCCCTGATCGATTTTCTGTGTCTTCTTGGGAGCTGGCGCATGTGCACAGGGTGCAAAATTTCACAGAAGGTGGAGGAGCAGTTCAGACCAGGAGCTGGCAAGGCAGAAACGTGGTCTACTTGTCACCTTCCAGCAATCAACATTGGTGCTTGGGACTGCTGGTCTCACAAAATTCAGAGTAGGATTAGGTGATGTTGCTGCTCTGCTCCTTACTATTCTCATTGTTGGAAAGAAAGCTGTACCTTAGAACTAGTAGTGCAGGGATCTACGTTCTTCTGATTCTGTAGATCTAGGATTCTAACAGCTCTCTTTCTTCCTGATCATTGTCATACTAATCATCATATCACTAGCCAACAGCTTTGATAAGGGGAAGCTAAGCCCTGCTTATCTCAAGATGGCTTTCCGCACATAATGCAGAAAAAGTCATGGTAAGCCGTTGGTGGTTAAGGATCAGTTGCAAGGAACCTGCAGGCAATACTGGTGACTAGTCCTTTGCCCTGTTCTTGCCTTTAACAATACAAGTTTGTTTTTTGTTTTTTTTAAGTGGGGAGAAATATTCCTGATCTGTGTCCTCCATTGTGCTGGAAGTTAATGCTGTCTTGTTTTCATGATGATTGGACACCTGTGAGTGCACTTTCTTTGAAAGAGAACCTTATACACTATACTGACATTCTGAAAGTCAGATGTCTGCCTGAAATCCTGGAATTTGTGTAAACATGATTGCCACTAATAGTCTCCATTGTAAATTAACTATCTAATGTGAATGGATTCCTAGAGTATGTCTTAATCTGCACATATTTGTAGTTCTTTTCTATCTCTGTTCTTCTGATTTCACGCAGAGGACATCTGCACAGGTCTTTCTCCTTCCTTTTTTAAAAATGGAAGATTTAATGCATACTGTCAAAAAAAAAAGAAAAAAGCTGCTTCTACAGGAGTTGTTTTGCCTGTAGAAGCAGCTCAATGTTACCCTATGTGTCCATGCACATTAGAATGTTTAGAGGCAGAAAAGACCCTTCTGGTTTTCATTTTTGAGAGCAGTTAACTGGCAGAAAAAAAGTGAAATGCTCTTGAACGTCTGTACAAAAAACCTTCACATGAAAGTTTTTTTTCTGCCAAGAGAAATGGCATTTTTTTTTTAAGCCCAGTGTGCATGGACCCTAATGCCCCATACACACGATAAGAAAATCGTACGTAAAGTTTTGCGGAAACACTGATTGAACGATTTTCTCTTTGTTGATGAGCACGATGTTTTAACCAATAACGATATTGTGAACGAAAAAATCCGGTTGTACAACAGTGAAAAATGTTGTTGTTTTGCATACAACCAACTGATTTTCTATGCGGTGGTATGAGGGTCGTCCAAATAAAATCTATCAAGCACTATCACACATGAGCGGAAACAGAAGATGACTCGGATGTTTATATCCAAGAAATCTTCGTAAACACGAACTAAAAATCCAAATGTTAAAAGTAGATTGGCCTAATGAGATAACGAAACCAGAATCCTGCATATTATATTTTATGTATCACTATTTATGTATATAGATAATGTAATAAACTATATTATACTCATTGCTGTTAATTGTTGTGTATATCGCTCGTTCTGGTCGGAATGGCATGGCTACAAGGTCACACGCACTCTGCATCACTTCCACTTGTACGGAAGACGTCAACACTATGTATTGCCTGACAAACGATTTTTTTAGATTGGTTAATGTGGGCCACGATTTCGACCAACCAACGAACACCTCTCAGTGGTCGGGTGACCAATTGGTAGATTTTTTTTTAATTGTGTATTCCCACCTTAAGGCTTGGTTCACATTGCCGCGAGATACCCTAAGTCTCATGACATGTGTTTTCCCATGTTAGTCAATGAGAGCTGTCTTAATTATCACTACTGAAGTCACTCTGACTTTAGAAAAGGTTCCTGTGCTACTTCAAGGCTACTTTTGACTTGTGCCCATAGACTTTAATGGAAGTTGCCTCCAAGTCGAATCCTCATCTACATTGATGTGATTACAGGAAGATTACCCAGGCGTTCCCTGAAAGTTGCTTCAGAGTTGATTCAAAGTAGTTCTCTAGTTGCCTGGCAAAGTAGCACTGTAAGTTGCGCGACTTTCAGGTAGCAGTAGTGTGAACCGAGACTAAAAGTTCACCTGGTGCAACATTGCATAATGATATTTTTGCGACTTGTCCCATGTAAAACAATGCATGCATGACTGTTTGCCCTCTAGTGGCTGTAGGCTGCTTTAAAACTCTTAACATTCTATTAACATTAAAGATTCCAAAGAGTATACACCAGACATGGTAAACCCATATCCCGCAACCTCAAACCTATGGCAGCCCACACAGCCTACTTCGCGTGCATGCCACTTTAGTAAATGATTGCCGGTCCTCCATAATCTTGACAACTGTTATACAGAAGCCGCTATTGGAGCCATCTCTCATCTGTTCTCTTCCCTTCCTAACACACATACAGGCAGAGGAGCTGAAGGAGCTTTAGTTGAATGGATTACATCTAGTGGCATTACATACAGGGGTTCTGAAGGTGGATTCTCACAGTTGTGTGGTGAGCTTGTTGTAATTCCGGGGGCCTATGAGTGCATTATGTCCCATTTTATCTTTGTTTAAAGTGGAATTGCACTGCATCTGAGTGCCACAAACCAAAGATGCTATTTAATTCCTTTTTCATTTTCAAAGCAAACTCGCCCATCCATGCATGTCTCCATGCATTATTTTTCAGAAAAATCGTTTTGGAAAATGCCCCCTGTCATTTCTGGCAGTGACTATCGTGAGTAAAGGCAGAGGATTCATGTATCATTTACTTCCCGGAAACCATCTGCCCTTAGCTCAGGCATAGAACCCTCCCTCCCCTCCTGAAGACTCTTGGGATGAGATGACATCATTTGCCTAGGAATGGAGACCAGGAAGTAACAGAAAAAAATGTGTAAAATAAATAAATGTTTAAAACAAGTAAATATAATCTACTTTCCTATCTATTTACTGATGCTAGCAGCATAGGGATTAATCACTTGCCTACCGGGTACTTATACCCCCTGCCTGTCCAGGCCAAATTTCAGCTTTCAGCGCTGTCATACTTTGACAATTGCACGGTCATGCAACACTGTACCCATATGAAATTTTTATACTTTTTTTGAGATAGAGCTTTCTTTTGGTGGTATTTTAATCACCTCTGGGTTTTTTATTTTTTGCTAAACAAACCAAAAACAACTGAAAATTTTGAAAAAAAACCTATTTATTAGTTTTTATTATAAAATTTTGTAAATAAGTGATTTTATCCTTCGCTGATTGCGCTAATGAGGCTGCAGTGATGGGCACTGATAGGCTGCACTGATAGGTGGCACTGATGAGGAGGCACTGGTAGGTGGCACTGATGGGCATTGACAGGCATCACTGATGGGCACTGAAAGGCAGCATTCATATATGGCATTGATTGGTGGCACTGTTATGCGGCACTGATAGGCGGCACTGACTGGCACTGATAGGTGGCACTGAAAGGCAGTTCAGATAGGCACTGATACGTGGCATTGATGAGCACTGACAGGTGGCACTGCTGGGGCTACACTGATCATTAGGGTACAATGATCATTACACTGGGTACACTGATCATTAGTGCCCTGATGATCAGTGTAGATGTCCCCTCTGAGGAATGCCAATTACCATCTCTCCTCTCCTCACAAGCTGTCAGCGTGACAGCTCGTGAGGAGAGCAATGCCGATAACGGACATTTCCCTATTTACATGCGCTCAGTTGTGATTGGACACAGCTGATCACATGATTGAGCCGACATCTTCGGCTCTTTCCATTGATCGGTGATCCGCTGTGTCCGAAGGACACAGCGCACCACCGATCTCCACGCTGCATACCCCCGGAGCTGCGCATGCGTGGTTAGAGTGGGATGACGTCATATGACGTCCTCCCAGAATGAGAGAACCGCCTTGCGCCCGTCATTACCTTATATGGCAGGCGGGAAGTGGTTTAAAGTAGTTCATGTTGATTTAGAAAGTGAAGTGCTGCTTTATTAAAGACATTAATTGCTCTACTAGGACATTTCCCTCCGTGGTCTGTTGTTTGTTTAGATTGTCCACAGTCCTTGTTTGGCAATGGCTGTAAAGACCCTGCTATAATGAAGGCTGCAATGCTGGTTCAGAGCTTTTTTTGGCTGGTCACACCTGAGCTCTAGCGTGGGATTAATGGTGATCTGCTTAATAAAAAAATGAGATTTTTATGATTAAACCATGGGTAAACATCCAACAGGGGATTGGTCCCACAGAAATTGTTGAACCTGATTGTTTAAAATCTTAATTATGCTATTCAACATAAAAAAAACTAAATTCTGAATGATTTCATTTCATTGTGGCCCATGATTACTTACCAAATCATGTGGCCTGTACTGTTCAAAGGTTGAGCACCCCTGTTGTACATCCATAAGCCTTATGCTGGTAAATTTCTGTACTTTTTCTGGTTAACTGAAGCCATGAAGTACCCATAAATGTAAATATATTTACTGATTAAAGCTAGCCATAGAAGGATCAACATATGGCCAGCTCAGCAGGGACCGGCCAAATTTAGATCTATCTATGACTTTTCCCACTAGACAGAAGTCGATATAACGATCAACTTATTTAACAGGAATATTGGGAAACGTTTTTTGATCAATGGCTGCAGCTGCTAAGTATTGTGTTCTGACAGCGGAGGAGTCCTGCTGATAGAATACAATGGCACAGTGGGAAGGATTCCTCTATTCTCTGATGCTGGGGAATGGATTATGATGCCACCCAGTAGATTGAAGTCTTTTTTTTTTTTTTTTTTTGTCTTAAATTGAAAGAAAAGCCATACTCTTCACTATTCCTAAAACTGCTCCTCAAAGTGTTACTAAGCCCACAACAGTAAAATCAGTCTTATATGCAGTAAAGCATGCTTGTTATACTCACTGTGGAACCTAAGGTGTTAAACCTCTGTATTGTGTAAAAAGGATGTTTGATCCTGTCTTCTCTGATCCTCGCCTTCTTCCACTGTCCTCAGTCTGTCTGCTGACAGAACAGAGCCTTGGGGGCAAGCTGCACATTCTCAGTTTGGTGTGTATTCCTAGAGTTTTTTTTTTCTTGGAAGAGTGCATGTGAGCAGCACATGGCCAATCAGCGCTGTCTATGGTTAGGGGTCCTGCAGCCTCTTAGGACAATCAGGAATCAGAATGAAAACTACAAGATTTACCCAGTGCTCTGCTGGACACTGATAGAAGTCAAAAGACTGCTCAGGAATGTGCAATTCATAGCGCCCAATGCCCGGGACAGGCAGCTCCAGGTGTCGAGCAGTTGATTTTTATTTACCTTTATTTGGTTTAGTAATGCTTTAAATTCATGGCCGTTATTTAGCGCTCCCTTACACAGGAGATTCGGAGCTGTGGAATCACATGACCAGGTTAAAAAAAGAAGTATACAGATTGTTTTTTTAACAGGATATGCAGAAATAGGTAGGAGGGGGGGGGAGAGAACATTTTGAGAGTAGTTTGTGTTAGGCTTTACTATCACTTGAAGTAGTGGCGCACCGAAATGAAAACTCTTGGATCGAAACCAAAAAATCAGGATGTATTTGGCCGAAAACCAAAACCGAAATGGACAGTTATTTATTTATTTTAATATATTCTTTTTAATATATATAATTGTATTATATTTTACTTATTAATATCATAAATATAAATGAATATGAATTTATTTTTAGCACCTTTTCGACCAATAGGCTGCTTTCACACTCAGTTTTTGCATTGCTTTTGTGTTAAACAGAGGTTCAAGAAAATTGCATCCCTTTAAATTCAATGTTAATCTTCACAATTTTTTTTTTTAGGGCTTTTTGCAGAAATGCACTACAGTCCATTTAGCATTGTTTCCTATCTGACACGTTCACATCTATGATCTTTGTAGCTGCTGCATTTTTGGAAAGGGTCAGGGACCTTTTTTTTAAAATGCTAAATGCGTTTTTGGTTCACTAGACTTCAAAGGTGCTGCAGAAAATGCATGTAGTGCGTTTTTGCCGTGTTTTTATGCGTTTGCCGCATTTTTGATGCATTTTTATGTGCGTGGAAAAACATGCATGCCAGTAAATGCAAAACGCATTGTAAAAACGGACAAACGCAAACAGCATTGGTGTTAGCTAGGCCTGAAATGCATTGAAAATACAGCAAAAAATGCACATGTTGCGTTTTTGATACGTTTTGCAATTTTAATCTGCCCAGCAACATGTTAGTCAAAATAAATTGCAAGACGCATCAAAAACTTAAAAAATGTGCGTGCAAAAATGCAAACTGCATTGGTATAAACCAGGCCTAAAATGCATTGAAAATGCACGAAAAACTCGTTGCATTTTTTATGCATTTTGCGTTTTTAATCTGCCTAGCAACAAGTTGGGCAAAAAAAAAAAATCAAAAACGTGAAATGCACTGCAAAACGCAAACTGCATTGGTGTGAACCAGGTCTAAAATGCGTTGAACACTCATCAAAACCACACACATGTTGCGTTTTGATGCTTTATTTTTTAGTTCAATGACCTATGAAAAAAGCACCCTAAATGTGGTAAAATTTCAGTGTTTTGGCTGCCATTTATCAGCACCTTTTTCCTAACTGCAAAATGCCAATAACACTTTTCAGCCACCAATATTTCGGTGCATCCCTAGCTTGAAAGCTTGTTCACATCATGCCCCTTGAGATGCGTTTTTTTCTGTACACCACTGCACATGTATGTTGTAAACAGAGCCCATAGAAAGCATTTTGTTTTTATGTGCCTTATTCACATCACACTTTCGGTAGTTTGCAGAAAAATGCAGCTTACCTGACATGGTGTAAACAAGCTCATAATGTGACTCTACACTCTGGTTTACTGGCATGGCATGTGTTTTTTGGGGTTTTTTTTTTTTTCTACATTAATTTTTTTTTGCATCCCGGTCACTTTCTGTCCGGTGGTTACAGCATAACAGAGGGAGGTGTTTTGTAATCCATGGACATAGCAGGGAACAATGCTAACGGAAGTATATCCAGAGGCAGAGACGTTATCAGCGCATAAGATTTCTGTCTAGAAGAAAATCTAATTTTTCTGCACTTGTTGAAAAATAAAGTAAAATGCTCTCAATGGTATAAGTAACAGACCAAAGGAAAGCAAATACGTGAAATTGATTGTTCAGGTTCACATTCAAATAAAACTCCAGACTTTCACATTTGCGACACAGCCCAGCTAAGAAGCACATTTTTAGATTTGTGGATCTGATTTAGATAATAGAACCCTGCCAGATTCTTCCATTTTCCTTTAGTTTTTTTGTGTTCACAAAGCAACAGCTTATGCAGAAATTTTTTTTTTTTTTTTTTTTTTTTTTTTTTTTTTTCATTCTGATCATACCTTGTTGCCCCCCCCCCCCCCAACTTGTATTATGATAAAACACAGTTTTTAACCTTCCTGTTCATATATTTAATATCTTTATAGCTTTTCTTTTTTTTGAAGTTTGCGGTGGTTAGAAAATGCTGGGACTTTGCCCTTGTGTCAGTGTTTCATAACCATTCGGATCAACAACTGAACATTTAACTTGACTAATTACAAGCTCTTCGTCTTTCTGTTGCGTCACCATGTAGGACTTTTACAAGGCTCACACAGCCACGCCTGTGAACATGTTCTGACCTATATCATAATTACATTAATTAGATTAGATTTTTGCTCTTCCTTTACCAGAGTTTGAGGTGTAATTGGGGGCATACTTCACTTAACTATATGCAGATGTTTGTGTTGTATCAGTGGATTGTTGGATCCCTCGGTGCTCTCCTCCACTGTCCCATGTGGGCAGACCCTTGGCGTCCTAATGTACAGTGCAGCACAAAATAATATATCCTTCTTTTTTTTTTTTTTCATCTTGCCTAGGAAAAATAAACCCACTGATATGGAGTAATAATTGTACAATTTTCTCTGTATAATGCTACAATGCTTTACTGCAAAATGTATTTCTACTACAATAGAGCTACACTAAGCTCACTTGGACGGCAAGCTCTCCTGACAGCTGAAAAACACTAAATGGTACCGCATTTACCCACATTTAGTGCTTGGATGTTTTATCCTTGGCTAGAGTACTTGCCATTGAAATGAATATTGCTAAATGTGCTAAATGTGCCTATCGCTTAGGGACGTTATGCACGTTTCTGCCGCGTTTTGTGATTTTTGGTCTAAAACTTCCTCTCTTGAATGTGATCCTTTGTTCAGGAGAGTGACATTTAACTGCCCTTAAACACTGCTGCTAAATTCTGATAAAAGCCTATATGTGCCTGGACACATAGCAGGGATGTTGAATTCCTAGCACCCAACGCCCGGGACATGTAGTTCCGGGCGCCGGGCAGATAGTGTTTTTTTTTGTTTTGTTTTGTTTTGTTTTTTTTTTATCCTTCAGCCCTGCTACAGGCAAGCAGCAGGGCTCATCTGTCAGCTGGAAGCAATCGGTGGCAGTGCTGCCACCGATTGCTTCCACACAGTGCCAGCCTCTCCGCCCCCTCGTGTGAACCTCCCTCTGCCCACTATCTCCCAGGCTCTGCTTGCCATCTGCGGGCCCGGTTCCCCGCCATCAGCTAGAGTGGAGGGAGGAGAGTGGACACGTCTACG